ATCTACTAGAAGATATTCTGCAATAAATGTTCTCAACTGTTGCTACCAAACACCTTTCACTCCACAATCCCATGATCTTTAACTCCAGTTGGCTTAAGATTGTACAACAGCTTTGTAACCCCAACTAGGTTCCCCGGTTCACCCTGGTATTTGCAGAGCCGGTTTTCTTGAAATGGAACCAAACCGAGGTGAAGAACCGAACCAACACAAACCCGAACTTTTATCAGCTTTTGTTGCTGGGAATGGAACCGAAACCCGTTCAGTGAAAAACTCTGGATTTCAATATGTTGGTTTTAATTAACCAAGTTTAGATTCACAACAATGGTTGAAAAATGAAGCAAGTCAAGTACCTAGGAAGAACCTGAAAAAAACATGATCAATGACCCTAAATGATTCCGGAAGTCCAAAACCTACCAATATTATTGAATTACTGGCCTACATAGACCAAGTAATTTCCCCGCAAAACCAATTTTCCTCCCAAACCCGACACCTAAACCGCGGCAAACTTACTAATAGATATGAATTTTACTTCCTCAAGGCTTGGAGGCACATAAGAGAACATGTGACTTGAACTTCTCTAACTCTGTCAGGACTTCATCTTCCGGTCTGTATATCAAATCACTCATCTGCCATATCTACCAAAATTAAAAATCATAGCAAAAATTACATAAACTAATCGCGGACAGGTTTCCTGTGTAAACGCAAGAAGAAAGTTAAAAATACCTGCAATGTACCACCTCCACGGCTACTCTCACAGTTATCAGAAACACTGACAATAGTCCAAGGTTCCAATTCATTCCAGTGAAAGTCGACCACTTTGTCCCTGAGAAGACATACACAAAGTAGATTATAGAGTCCATTCAAGAAAGTAAACCAGAAAAAGGAAACAAGAGAACTATGATTTAAGTCTTGAGAACCTGTGACCAGCATGCTGGAAGAAAAGTCCAGCAGGGGTTTTTGATCCACGCTCGGACTTCTTGCCGACCTAACAAGCACATTACATATACGAATATGATGAACTTGAAAGTATGAAATTTTTTTTTTAATGTGAAGTGTGAAACTGAGAAAATGCACAAACCCTATCATAATCCCATATGTTTAAGAGACCATCTTCTGCGGAACTCCCAAAAACAGACGATTTATCAGGAGACCACTGAATTCGTAACAAAGCAGTGTCATTGGAGATATGTATTCTCATTTACTAGAACACATCATATAAAAAAAAAGAAAGAACAGAGGTCACAGCATGTTGTTGAAACCTGAACACAGAGAACAGCAGCTTTGTGGCCTTCAAATTTGTAAATAGGTGAGCCAACTCCATTTGAGGTCATGCTTCGGCGGTCAAACACACGGACAGTGTTATCTGCTGACCTGTAGAAATGGCGTAGAAGCGTGAGAGAACGAGCAACATCTCAATAATTTTGGAATAGTACTTAGGTGTGCAAAAGAAGTACCCTGTCAGGATCAGATTGTTGTCATGAGGATTCCAATCGACACAATGAAGATCAGCATCATGTGCCTTCTCAACCTGGCAGTACACAACAAGAAACAGATGAAAACTGAAACAAGATCGAAAGGTCGAACCTCAAACTTCGATATGGTTAGCAAGAGAGGTACCTTCATCGCAGGGTCCATGCCAGTTCGTGCATCCCATAGTATAAGGCAAGAATCATCACCAACACTGCAGAATACCTGTGCACTTCAGGACAAAACAAAAATTTACCAAAACAAATCACCAAAAGCATCATAGTACTTCTGCATTTGAGTGTAAACTTAAGAGCCTAAAAATCAAAGAAAGAGACTGTTCCAAGAAGTTACTTAGATGGACAGAATGCCACGTCTTCAACGGTATTTTCATGGCCATGATATACACCTCGAGGGCCAACGGAACAACCACCAGTTTGATTACTAACTTCACCAGTCTGTTTGATGCTAGATCCAGGAGATTTTGAATCTGTACCAGCCGTTGTGATATGGTCTTGGATACTCCACAAAACAACTGACTTGTCCTTGCCTGCACGTAAAAATCTTTTGATGACAAACCTGCAAACCACAAGATAGGACACAAAGATAGCACCAATACGAACCTCCAGANAGAACAAGAGGTTCGGTTGGGCACATTGCCAGAGCAAATTCAGCAGTATCCTGGTGTCCAGTAAGTATCTGCAAATGAAAAGTGGCTCAGATGATGCAAGCAAAAAAAAAAAAGAGCTTTTCTGTTTTTTTTAGATGATGCACAAGGAGTGTTTAACATGGTGGGACAACACTGTGAAAAATCTCATTACAGAGCATACCAAATCAGGACGAGAATTTGGAGCTCCAAACACAGGAGGCCGGTCTGGTTGAGTCTCAGTGTCCCAAATGAGAACCTGAAAACCAATATATCAAACTTGCATGACTGAAACTGGAACTACGTCCAAAAAAGGATACTGAATAATGAAAGCATTTTTGTGTTTTAGGCTGAATGACGCGAGAAAGCATAGCTTACATCAGGACTGTCAGTGTGAGTAGCTACTATCTTACTATTTTGTGGGAGTTCCCTGATTCTGTTGACCTGCGATTAACGAAAGGTACATATCACAAAGTGTTTTGCATAAATTAAACTCATAAACGAAATGCAGATTACATTTATGCATCGAGTCCAGCTAAGAAACGACAATGATAATACAGGTATAGGGTGGAACTCACACCTCTCCAGGGTGGATGATGGACTTGTACTTCTTCGCAAAGAGAGAGCATGCTTCTTCATTACCCTGGAAGCATATAAAGAAACGGTAAAAAATGCCATCTTAGCACAAAGTAACACAAGGACACAAGCACAAGCTATGGATAGAAAAAACTAATTACCTGCCTCTTAACAGCTTCACAACTGGCTATGACCAAGGTATTAGGCACACTGCCATTAGTCTAGTGACAGAACCAAGAAAAAAAAAACCGTAAACATGATAAGCAATAGACGAAATATGGAAGTTAAAGCGATAATTCATTTACTCAAAAAAAAATCTCCAAACTTCTAGAAGAAAAATACGCAAACCCACTTGTTCCGAGAGATAGAGACGCTGTTGATTCTTCGAAGCTGCTTGCTCAAACTGTGGCCCCCATCTATCCACATTGACAAAAAATTGAACCTCTTTACATTAAAGCTAAAAACTTCACCAAATCTTAACAAGGCTAACATCAGAAACCTGAAATGTCATTGGAAATCAAAAGTAGTCTCTGATAACTCGGAACAATTAGTAGCGGAAAAAGAAACAAAACAGAACACTAGTCTATAACTGAGTGGAGCGTTCCAGAGGTTTATGCATAATTCATAAACAGAAACATCAGTTTATCTATTGAACAACATTTAAGAGACAAAAACACATAAAGGCATGGACACTGAGCTAAATCAAGAACCCTAAATAGAACATGTCCTAATCTCACAAATTCCAGAGATTTGCTAAAAACTTCTCTCAATCTATACTTAAGCTTGAATTTTTCAATCACCTAACCCAAAACTCAAGCTTGAATTTTTTGGTTTCACAACAAGTATACAATTCCTCCAAAACCAAAGATCAGAGTTAACCAAACACAACGACAAGTTTCTCCATGTAAATCAAACCCCCGGAATAAACTCACATGAGTAATCGATAACCCTAGAAGAACATAGGAAACTAAACGAGAAACCCAGACCTGCAAGAGAGAGAGGGCCAAACGAGGTTATGATTGGCAAGGGAATCGTAGAGAATGGGAACAAGAGTCTTCCACTGAGAGTACTTGTCGTCAACGATGGGTTTCTGATTCGTCTTCTTCTTCTCGGTGTTGCTCTGCAGCTGCGAAAATGGTGACTGAGACTCGCCGTTGCTCTTACGATTCCGACCTCTCTTCTTCAGGACAGTAGCCGTCGCCGGAGTCTCAGCTTCTCCTGTCGTCGTGGTGGCTTGAAAAGTCGCTGCTACTTCACTCTCCATTTTTTCCTCCTCCTTTTTGTTCCTTTCCTTTGTCCTTTTCGTTTAATATTATATATTCAGGTTCTGTCCTTTCCCATGCCACGTGTCGAACACCTACAGGTCAAATTGGTTCTGAGAAATACAGAAACAGTACCAGGTATGCCAAAATATTTTCAGGTGTTATAAAAAGAGTAGCTAAATAATTTCCCTAACAAAATTGTAAACTGTTTTAATATTTTCAAAAATTATAATAATAAAATGTTGCAATGTTTGAATAATATTTTCCAAAAAATATATTCATCACTGCGAAAGTACGAATAACAATACTAAAGTTAATTGATTTATTTCTTTTCTTTCAATAACCTAATTAAGTTGTGTAACGTTTGAATTATCGAAGAAAATTAATATATCCTCCCGTTACAAAATATACGGTAGACTTCCTGTTTTCTTCTTTTAGCCAACGCAAAAAGATCTTCTAAATCTTGATAGAAATTTACTAATTGATTAACTTAACGACGCAAACGCGATTATAATGGCGACCACATCCAAAACTCCGTTCATCGTTCAAAGTCACAAGATAAATCAGTCACAACTTGGTGTTTATAAAGACTACTCTCAAAGTCTACCATTCATAATTGTGATTTCACTTGAACAAAAAAAACAAAAAAAGGTCTGTTTCTTCTTCAATGAACTAGTTGGGAAGAGTATTGAGGTAGAAGAATCAGACATAAACACCACTAGCAAGTAGCAAAAACAACGATCCAAAACCCTGCAAATGACATAGAAGCAGATTTCAAATCAACATTAGATTTTAATGAAGACAGTTATTGGAGTT